GGGTGAACAGAAAGCCTGGTGCGGAAAAAGTTGCAACGCCCAAAACTCAGGGCTCGTTGCCCCTGACGGCGCCCCTCCCTGCATCGGCGATGCGTCGGCGCTGCATGGGTGACGTCGGCGAGGAGAAAAGCGGGCTCCACATCGAGCCGCATCGCCAATGCATCGGCAATTCGGCGCGATACTCTGACCCCATGGACTCGAACCCAAGTTCATTTGAAACCGCGTAACGCGCATTCTGTGGTTGGGTGGGTGGGCGGGTTCGCTGGCACGTAGCAGAACACAGTCGCGCCAAGCCGCTCGAGTGCTTTTTTTTCTGAGAGCACTATCCTGAGCAACAGGCGCTGCTACAACGGGGGTGGGCGGGGCGGCGGGCGGTATGTCACCTACTGGGCGGGAGGGTGGGTTGGAGGCCACAGAACGCGCGTTACGTGCTCGAGCTTGTTTATATGTATATATATATATATATATATACATACATATGTATATATATAAGTAGATAAATACATAGTACATACATGTTACTATATAAAAGATATGTAAACAAAACAAACAAACATATATATATATACATATATATATACATGCATATACATAAGAAAAAAACTCCGACCCCATCTTGGAGGCCGGGAACGCCGCCACCGACGGCGCCCCGCCCCTCCGCGCCGCTCCTGGCGCCGCCGCTGCCGCGCAGCTCCGGGCGGCGCGGCGCCGCGCGCCCGGGCGGCGCGCTCTGGGGCCGCTCCTCTCGGGGGCGCGCGAGCATGGATTTCAAGCGGCCCAAGGACACGCAAATAAATACACGCTAATAAAACAAAAAAAAACATATTTTCCCATATGTTCTGGGTTTTGGTCTTCCCCCCCACTTCCCGTATTTTCCTATATTTTCCAGGGGATCGAAGATTAATTGTGTCTGTGTGTTTCTTCCCCTCCTGAGGATTGGCGATCCATGGACCTGGCCTTAAGTCGGGCGTGTCCCCCTGACGGAAAAAATACACCCCACAGATGCTCCAAAAATGCAAAAAGTGGTCCCCAAACAATTTTTGACTACTTTTGAATATTCCTCCTGTAGA